TTTTGGGGAGTTTTTGGGGATTTTTGGGGATTTTATGGCGATTTTTGGGGGGTTTTGGGGGGTTTAAAGTGGATTTTTTGGGGGGTTTTGGTGGCTCAAGAACGCCATGAGGTACCCGAAGGGGTTTTGGGGTGAATTTCAGGGATTTTGGGCAAATTTGGGATTTTTAGGGATTTTTAGGAGATTTTTTTAGGGATTTTTTTTGGGATTTTTGGGGGGTTTTAAGTGGATTTTTTGGGGGGTTTTGGTGGCTCAAGAACGCCATGAGGTACCCGAAGGGGTTTTGGGGTGAATTTCAGGGATTTTGGGCAAATTGGTGAATTTTGGTGATTTTGGGGATTTTTTTAGTGATTTTTTAGTGATTTTGGGGGGATTTTGGGGATTTTTTTGGGATTTTTGGGGGGTTTAAGTGGATTTTTTGGGGGGTTTTGGTGGCTCGAGAACGCCATGAGGTACCTGAAGGGATTTTGGGGTGAATTTCGGGGATTTTGGGCAAATTTCGGATTTTTGGTGATTTTTGGGGGGATTTTTTGGTGATTTTGGGGGGTTTAAATTGGATTTTAGGGGGAATTTTTGGCAGTTTTGCTGCTCAAGAACGCCATGAGGTGACCGAGATGAAATTTTGGGGCAAATTCCGGGGATTTTGGGCAATTTGGGGATTTTTGGTGATTTTGGGGGGATTTTTGGTGATTTTGGGGAGATTTTTTGGTGATTTTAGGGGGATTTGGGGCAATTTTGGGGTAATTTTGGGGGGATTTTGCTGCTCAAGAACTCCATGAGGAGCACGACATGAAATTTTGGGGCGAATTTCGGGGATTTTGGGCAATTTTGGGGATTTTTTTGGGTTTTTCGGGCATTTTTGGGGTGACCTCGGGGACATTTTTTGGGGTCACCTTGGTGCCATTTTTTGGGTGACTTTGATGCCATTTTTGGGGTGATTTTGGTGAATTTTTGGGGTGACTTTGGTGAATTTTTGGGGTGACCTTGGTGCCATTTTTGGGGTCACCTCGGTGACATTTTTGGGGTGACCTTGGTGCCATTTTTGGGGTGACTTTGGTGAATTTTTGGGGTGATTTTGGTGACATTTTTTGGGGTCACCTCGGTGACATTTTTTGGGGTGACTTTGGTGAATTTTTGGGGTGATTTTGGTGAATTTTTGGGGTCACCTTGGTGCCATTTTTGGGGTGACTTTGGTGAATTTTTGGGGTGACTTTGGTGAATTTTTGGGGTGATTTTGGTGAATTTTTGGGGTCACCTCGGTGACATTTTTGGGTGACTTTGGTGACATTTTGGGGTCACCTCGGTGCCATTTTTGGGGTGACTTTGGTGAATTTTTGGGGTGACTGGTGAATTTTTGTGGTCACCTCGGTGACATTTTTGGGTGACTTTGGTGACATTTTGGGGTGATCTCGGTGGCATTTTGGGGTGATTTTGGTGAATTTTTGGGGTGATTTTGGTGAATTTTTGGGGTGATTTTGGTGAATTTTTGGGGTGACCTCGGTGACATTTTGGGTGACTTTGGTGACATTTTGGGGTCACCTCGGTGCCATTTTTGGGGTGACTTTGGTGAATTTTTGGGGTGACTTTGGTGAATTTTTGGGGTGACTTTGGTGACATTTTGGGGTCACCTCGGTGCCATTTTTTGGGTTATTTTGGTGACATTTTTTGGGGTGACTTTGGTGAATTTTTGGGGTGACTTTGGTGACATTTTGGGGTGACCTCGGTGCCATTTTTGGGGTGACTTTGGTGAATTTTTGGGGTGACCTCGGTGACATTTTGGGTGACTTTGGTGAATTTTTGGGGTCACCTTTGTGCCATTTTTGGGGTGACTTTGGTGACATTTTGGGTGACTTTGGTGACAATTTTGGGGTCACCTTGGTGCCATTTTTTGGGTGACTTTGGTGAATTTTTGGGGTGACTTTGGTGACATTTTTGGGGTGACTTTGGTGAATTTTTGGGGTCCCCAGGGCCACCATGGAGTCCCACCTGGACACGCCCTACAACGTCCCCGACATCGTGGTGACCATCGCCAACAACGACATCGACCTCGTCATCCGGTACGGCCCCGAAACGTCCCCAAATGTCCCCAAAACGTCCCCAAATGTCCCCAAAACGTCCCCAAATGTCCTCAGGTGTCCTCAAATGTCCTCAAAGTGTCCCCAAATGTCCCTAAGTGTCCTCAAATGTCCTCAAAATGTCCAAAAATGTCACCCAAATGTCCCCAAATGTCTCTAAATGTCCTCAAGGTGTCCTTTAATGTCCTCAAAATGTTCCCAAATGTCCCCAAAACGTCCCCAAATGTCCCCAAAATGTCCCCAAATGTCCTCAGGTGTCCTGAAATGTCCTCAAAATGTCTCCAAATGTCCCTAAGTGTCCTCAAATGTCCTCAAAATGTCTCCAAATGTCCTCGAATGTCCTCAAATGTCCTCAAAATGTCCTCAGGTGTCCTCAAATGTCCCAAAATGTCTCTAAATGTCCTCAAAGTGTCCTTTAATGTCCTCAAAATGTTCCCAAATGTCCCCAAAATGTCACACAAATGTCCCCAAATGTCCTCAAATGCTCCCAAGTGTCCTCAAAATGTTCCCAAATGTCCCCAAAATGTCACACAAATGTCCCCAAAAGTCCTCAAATGCTCCCAAGTGTCCTCAAAATGTCCTCAGGTGTCCTCAAATGTCCCAAAATGTCTCTAAATGTCCTCAAAGTGTCCTCAAATGTCCTCAAAGTGTCCTCAAATGTCCTCAAATGTCCCTAAATGTCCTTAAAGTGTCCCCAAATGTCCTCAGACGTCCCAAAATGTCCTCAAGTGTCCTAAAATGTCCCCAAATGTCCTCAAATGTCCTCAAAACGTCCCCAGATGTCCTCAAAATGTTCTCAGGTGTCCTCAAATGTCCCAAAATTTCCTCAAATGTCCCAAAATGTCCTCAAAGTGTCCTCAAGTGTCCTCAAATGTCCCTAAATGTCCCAAAATGTCCTCAGGTGTCCTCAAACGTTTCAAAATGTCCTCAAATGTCCCAAAATTTCCTCAAATGTCCCCAAAATGTTCTCAAGTGTTCTCAAAATGTCCTCAAATGTCCCCAAATGTCCCAAAATGTCCCAAAGTGTCCCCAAATGACCCCAAATGTCCCCAAGGTCCCCAACGTCCCCAATGTCCCAAATGTCCCCAACCTCCTAAACGTCCCAAATATCCTCAATGTCCCAAAATGTCCCCAAATCTCCCAAATCTCCCGAACGTCTCCGATGTCCCCAATGTCCAAAACATCTCAAATCTCCCAAAATGTCCCCAACGTCCCCAAATGTCCCCAAATGTCCCCAGGATCTCGGACCGGGGCGGTGGCATCCCTCACGAGCTGCTGGACAAGGTGACCGAGTACCACTTCAGCACGGCCGAGGCCAGCGCCCAGGACCCGCGCCTGGGGGGGCCCTTCCGGGGCCTGATGGACGCCAGCGGCCAGCCCGGGCCCATGCACGGGTCAGGGACCCCTCCCCAAAAAA